GGGGGGGAGCCTCGCCTGCGGCGGGGGCTGCTGCCGCCCCGCACTCCCGCACCGCCGCCGCGCGCCCTGTTTGGAGAGGGAGGCTAGCGAGCGAGAGGGGAGCGCCAGGAGAGGAGCTAGGAAGCTACTAGAGTCCACGCCAAGAAAAATTAGAAAATGAGAATCCGCGCGAGCATGGAGAAAAATGTTTCTAGACGCGCACGTAGTACATATGTTGCTTGCCGCGGTCTCGCGGCGTTAACGTCTCTTGCACTCTGGAATCCGACATTGTGGACACAGTTCGCTATACTTTTTGAGGTGTAACAGGGGTCATCACATCAGTGTATTTTTCGACGCGTCATTGAACATGTGAGTCATGTAGTATACCTCGCTCTCTCCCTCTCTCGCTCACTCCCCTCTGTCTCTCTCCTGCCGTCCTGCGGTCCGGTCGGCTGGTGTCGGTCCAAACCCCGCGTGCGGAGGCGGGGGTTGGAGCCCCGGGCTCCGCGGAGTCGGGGCTGTCCAGGGCCGAGGATGGGTGGAGGGAGGGGGGATTGCCTAGGGGCGTCAGCCACCGGGCATGTGGGGATTTGGGCGCGCGTGGCACTGCGGGGGCGCGGGGGCGGCGCGGGGGCATGCAGACAATGGAAACATTAGCCGTACTCGCCCGCTGCTTGGAGGAGCAGCGCAGGGCCGCCGCCAGGGTCAATTTGCACTTATCGTCATGGGAATGGTGAATGGCCTCCTCCGCGCGACTGGGGTGCCTCTCCCCCTCACTTCCACCCCCCCCCCTCCCCCTCCCCTCCCCCTTACCCGTGTTATCTCAGGGGTAATTACAGGCGGCAGTTTAGGCGATTGGAATGGCAAATGGAATGGCGACAACAAGTAGTGGGAGCTCGCCAAGCCTTTATCCTTTTTTACTTGTCCCTTCTGCGGACAGAAAGACTCTGTGTGTGTGTGTGTGTGTGTGCGCGCGCGCGAGGGAGGCGGTCTTTGTGTTTGTCTCGTTGTTGCAACCCTTTTCGACATCAGCCCGAGCGCGTTATTGCCACGTCGTTTTGTATTTTTCACTTCAAAAACGACGTTGCGACGCCGTACTTTTGCGCCTGTATTCTGCTGCTGCTGCTGCTGCTGCTGCTGCTGCTGCTGCTGCTGCTGCTGCTGCTGCTGCTGCTGCTGCTGCTGCTGCTGCTGCT